GGTTGTTTATACTGCAATGCAGGTTTCTGTCCTCTGTAAGTTGTGTATACTTCAGTGGTTTGTCCCCTGTAGTTGTGTATACTTCAGTGATTTCTGTCCTCTGTAGTTGTGTATACTTCAGTGGTTTCTGTCCCCTGTAGTTGTGTATACTTCAGTGGTTTCTGTCCCCTGTAGTTGTGTATACTTCAGTGATTTCTGTCCTATGTTAGTTGTGTATACTTCAGTGGTTTCTGTCCCCTGTAGTTGTGTATACTTCAGTGGTTTCTGTCCCCTGTAGTTGTGTATACTTCAGTGATTTCTGTCCTATGTTAGTTGTGTATACTTCAGTGGTTTCTGTCCCCTGTAGTTGTGTATACTTCAGTGGTTTCTGTCCCCTGTAGTTGTGTATACTTCAGTGGTTTCTGTCCCCTGTAGTTGTGTATACTTCAGTGGTTTCTGTCCTCTGTAAGTTGTGTATACTTCAGTGGTTTTTCTGTCCTATGTTAGTTGTGTATACTTCAGTGGTTTCTGTCCCCTGTAGTTGTGTATACTTCAGTGGTTTCTGTCCCCTGTAGTTGTGTATACTTCAGTGGTTTCTGTCCCCTGTAGTTGTGTATACTTCAGTGGTTTCTGTCCCCTGTAGTTGTGTATACTTCAGTGATTTCTGTCCTATGTTAGTTGTGTATACTTCAGTAGTTTCTGTCCTATGTTAGTTGTGTATACTTCAGTGGTTTCTGTCCTCTGTAAGTTGTGTATACTTCAGTGGTTTCTGTCCCCTGTATACTTCAGTGGTTTCTGTCCCCTGTAAGTTGTGTATACTTCAGTGGTTTCTGTCCTCTGTAAGTTGTGTATACTTCAGTGGTTTCTGTCCTATGTTAGTTGTGTATACTTCAGTGGTTTCTGTCCCCTGTAGTTGTGTATACTTCAGTGGTTTCTGTCCTATGTATACTTGTGTAAGTTGTGTATACTTCAGTTTTCTTCAGTGGTTTCTGTCCCCCTGTAGTTGTGTATACTTTGTGTATACTTCAGTGGTTTCTGTCCTCTGTATACTTCAGTTGTGTAGTGTATACTTCAGTGATTTCTGTCCTATGTTAGTTGTGTATACTTCAGTAGTTTCTGTCCTATGTTAGTTGTGTATACTTCAGTAGTTTCTGACCCCTGTAGTTGTGTATACTTCAATGGTTTCTGTCCCCTGTAGTTGTGTATACTTCAGTGATTTCTGTCCCCTGTAGTTGTGTATACTTCAGTGATTTCTGTCCCCTGTAGTTGTGTATACTTCAGTAGTTTCTGTCCTATGTTAGTTGTGTATACTTCAGTGGTTTCTGTCCCCTGTAGTTTCTTCAGTGGTTTCTGTCCCTGTAGTTGTGTATACTTCAGTGATTTCTGTCCCCTGTGGTTGTGTATACTTCAGTGATTTCTGTCCCCTGTAGTTGTGTATACTTCAGTGGTTTCAGTGTGTATACTTCAGTGGTTTCTGTCCTCTGTTAGTTGTGTATACTTCAGTAGTTTCTGTCCCCTGTAGTTGTGTATACTTCAGTGGTTTCTGTCCCCTGTAAGTTGTGTATACTTCAGTGGTTTCTGTCCTCTGTAAGTTGTGTATACTTCAGTGGTTTCTGTCCTCTGTAAGTTGTGTATACTTCAGTGGTTTCTGTCCCCTGTAGTTGTGTATACTTCAGTGGTTTCTGTCCCCTGTAGTTGTGTATACTTCAGTGGTTTCTGTCCCCTGTAGTTGTGTATACTTCAGTGATTTCTGTCCCCTGTAGTTGTGTATACTTCAGTGATTTCTGTCCCCTGTAGTTGTGTATACTTCAGTAGTTTCTGTCCTATGTTAGTTGTGTATACTTCAGTAGTTTCTGACCCCTGTAGTTGTGTATACTTCAGTGGTTTCTGTCCTCTGTAAGTTGTGTATACTTCAGTGGTTTCTGTCCTCTGTAAGTTCTGTATACTTCATTGGTCTCTGTCCCCTGTGGTTGTGTATACTTCAGTGGTTTCTGTCCCCTGTAAGTTGTGTATACTTCAGTGGTTTCTGTCCTCTGTAAGTTGTGTATACTTCAGTGGTTTCTGTCCTATGTTAGTTGTGTATACTTCAGTGGTTTCTGTCCCCTGTATACTTCAGTTGTGTATACTTCAGTGGTTTCTGTCCTGTAGTTGTGTATACTTCAGTGGTTTCTGTCCTCTGTTAGTTGTGTATACTTCAGTAGTTTCTGACCCCTGTAGTTGTGTATACTTCAGTGGTTTCTGTCCTCTGTAAGTTGTGTATACTTCAGTGGTTTCTGTCCTATGTTAGTTGTGTATACTTCAGTGGTTTCTGTCCCCTGTAGTTGTGTATACTTCAGTGGTTTCTGTCCCCTGTAGTTGTGTATACTTCAGTGGTTTCTGTCCCCTGTAGTTGTGTATACTTCAGTGGTTTCTGTCCTCTGTAAGTTGTGTATACTTCAGTGGTTTCTGTCCCCTGTAGTTGTGTATACTTCAGTGGTTTCTGTCCCCTGTAGTTGTGTATACTTCAGTGGTTTCTGTCCCCTGTAGTTGTGTATACTTCAGTGGTTTCTGTCCCCTGTAGTTGTGTATACTTCAGTAGTTTCTGTCCTATGTTAGTTGTGTATACTTCAGTAGTTTCTGACCCCTGTAGTTGTGTATACTTCAGTGGTTTCTGTGTGTATACTTCAGTGATTTCTGTTTCTACTTCAGTCTGTAGTTTCCCCTGTAGTTGTGTATACTTCAGTGGTTTCTGACCCCTGTAGTTGTGTATACTTCAGTGGTTTCTGTCCTCTGTTAGTTGTGTATACTTCAGTGGTTTCTGTCCCCTGTAGTTGTGTATACTTCAGTGGTTTCTGTCCCCTGTAGTTGTGTATACTTCAGTGGTTTCTGTCCCCTGTAGTTGTGTATACTTCAGTGGTTTCTGTCCCCTGTAGTTGTGTATACTTCAGTGGTTTCTGTCCCCTGTAAGTGGTGTATACTTCAGTGGTTTCTGTCCTCTGTAAGTTGTGTATACTTCAGTGGTTTCTGTCCTATGTTAGTTGTGTATACTTCAGTGGTTTCTGTCCCCTGTAGTTGTGTATACTTCAGTGGTTTCTGTCCTATGTTAGTTGTGTATACTTCAGTGGTTTCTGTCCCCTGTAGTTGTGTATACTTCAGTGAGTTGTGTATACTTCATGATTTCTGTCCTATGTTAGTTGTGTATACTTCAGTAGTTTCTGTCCTATGTTAGTTGTGTATACTTCAGTGGTTTCTGTCCTCTGTAATACTTCAGTTGTGTATATACTTCAGTGGTTTCTGTCCCCTGTAAGTTTTGTGTATACTTCAGTGGTTTCTGTCCTCTGTAAGTTGTGTATACTTCAGTGGTTTCTGTCCTATGTTAGGTGTGTATACTTCAGTGGTTTCTGTCCCCTGTAGTTGTGTATACTTCAGTGATTTCTGTCCCCTGTAGTTGTGTATACTTCAGTGATTTCTGTCCTAGTGATTTCTGTCCTATGTTAGTTGTGTATACTTCAGTGGTTTCTGTCCTATGTTAGTTGTGTATACTTCAGTGGTTTCTGTCCTCTGTAAGTTGTGTATACTTCAGTGGTTTCTGTCCTCTGTAAGTTGTGTATACTTCAGTGGTTTCTGTCCTCTGTAAGTTGTGTATACTTCAGTGGTTTCTGTCCTCTGTAAGTTGTGTATACTTCAGTGGTTTCTGTCCTATGTTAGTTGTGTATACTTCAGTGGTTTCTGTCCTCTGTAAGTTGTGTATACTTCAGTGGTCTCTGGCCTCTGTAAGTTGTGTATACTTCAGTGGTCTCTGTCCTCTGTAAATTGTGTATACTTCAGTGGTTTCTGTCCTCTGTAAGTTGTGTATACTTCAGTGGTCTCTGTCCTCTGTAAGTTGTGTATACTTCAGTGGTTTCTGTCCTCTGTAATTTGTGTATACTTCAGTGGTTTCTGTCCTCTGTAGTTGTGTATACTTCAGTGATTTCTGTCCCCTGTAGTTGTGTATACTTCAGTGGTTTCTGTCCTCTGTAAGTTGTGTATACTTCAGTGGTTTCTGTCCTCTGTAAGTTGTGTATACTTCAGTGGTTTCTGTCCTCTGTAAGTTGTGTATACTTCAGTGGTTTCTGTCCTCTGTAGTAGTCTACATTTCAGTGGTTTCTATCTCTAGTAGTTGAAGTTTTTGTCCTTTTGCATTTTCTCCCTATACTCTTTAATTGTACGTCTATGTACCATGGACAGAGGACAATGATTCATATATTTTATCTGGACACAGGACCTGTAGAACTTTTAACTACATTTTCTTCCTTCAATATCAAGTATTCATTGAGTTAATTTAATAAATTATGTAGCTGACTGTTGGAGCATTGTATGTAGCTTTTCCAAGTCAAATCCTAAATATATACTTCCAACGATGAAACAGTATGTGAAGTTTCACTGATATACCTAGAACAGAAATTTACATGTAAAATTGATGTACATTTCTGCCATTAGAGGAGAATTCTTGGCACAGCTACATGGAAGGTCATCAACCTCACTTGCAATATTATGGCGGTGCAGAGATCCAACTCACAATCATTGAAAATGTGGTTAGAGTGCTGAATGTGTTTTTGAATCCTGAAGTGTTAGCGTAATATCCTCTGATCTCTTAGTTAAGAGTGTTAGCATCTCTTTAACAAAATCCATTCTTTTAGACATCAAAATACACTGTCCTTAAATAACTGCAAAATACATTACCCCAGTAAATAAAATAAAAATTCAAAATAAATGTGAACAATGATTCTTTCAGCTAATTAGCTTAATTCCAGGCTTTTTGGTAAATCAGAAAGAGTTGTTTTGGGTGTTTCAAATTTGACCCCTGTGGCCTTCAAGATGGATTAAGATCCATTCTTCTCACAAACTTAGTCAGGTTTCATCCTTGGAGCTAACCAATTAATCTACTGTTTCTTCAGATGAGGTCATTTAATAAAAAACTTGACGATCAACAGATGTCACACCATGGCATAAACTTGCATGCCTTTTGGCAGGTGAATTAATAACACCATTAGACAATAAGGTGAAATGATCTTTTATTGATTTGCAAATATTTCAAAAGATGATTATAATCTACTCAAAACTGTAATCAATTTAAAGTAAAAAACGTCAATCAAAATATATTTTCTTAATCGCCAGTATATTAAGATTAAACATTCTCAAAGCATTGAGTTATATGTATACCACTTTACTTTTATAGAAAGGTCCTTAATCTTTGATCTGACAGTGATTGTAAGGACCATAAGAGTCTTGTTAATCCAGCCAACATGAGACAGTAATTCTGATCCTGTCCAGACACCATCAGTCAAGTTACATTAACAACATGTACTAGCTGTCCTTGTCTTAATGGCCACCACAATCCAGTTGTCCTTTGAGACAAACATTTCTCATCTTAAAATTCAATACAGGGAATAACCACCCTGGTGGAAGTCCAAATAACATTCAGTAACTGCATGTAATAATACTGACCAACCCAGTCACTACGACCATATCCAGCCATCATTGGTCACTGGAAGTTAGTACTGACCATATCTAGTTAATTTGATCATATCTAGACACTATCAGTGGTTGTTCCAATAATATCCAGCCACCATTGATAATTTTACAGACCAACCTAATCACTTGCACAATATCCAGCCACCATCAGTGGTTGACTTGCCATATCTAGTCACTAGCATCATATCCAGCCATGGTCAGTGGTTGACTTGCCATATCTAGTTACTAGGACCAAATCCATCCACCATCAGTGGTTGACTTGCCATATTTAGTCACTAGGACCAAATCCCGCCACCATTAGTGGCTGTCTCAATAGCATTTAACCACCTTACTGACCAACCCCGTCACAATGACTATACCTCACCATAAGTGACTGTCTATACCATATCTAGTTACTTTGACAATATCCAGCCACAATTAGTGGTTGTCCCTAACAAGATCTCACAACAAATTTCACCAATTATAATTGTCAAATAGAGTGGTGGAACCACATCAATACCTGCTTGCTTATTACCTTGGCAACTGTATATCAAAAATGTTATAAAAAATCTCTATGTATACATAGACATATCTACAGCAGTTTGTTATAGATTCAATAAATACTGTACTCATTGCTAATCTCACTTTATTAATGCTCCTTGTAAAAAGGATTTCCACAAGATCATATACTAATCAGATATTAGCATTCTCTGATTAATTAGGCGTTATTCTAAGTTGCAATTTCTTGCTTATATGTACCTGGAGATATGTATATTATAATTTTCCATATGTACCACAGGGATTTCTTCCCGATTCTTTCATTCTAATGCAGAAAACACTTTAAATGTTCCAGTCAGAATCTAATTTACATCAATATAAATTATTTCAAAACTTCCATAAAAGGCATGCTATCTATAATTATATTTTAATGTATATAATGTATATATGAATAGAGACTACTAGTATATTAAGATGATTTAAAATGGAAAATACTTTTTTAAAACCTGCCTTCTGTTACAGATTAATTCAACTCTACCTTAACAGTCATTTCCCCTCCCCCCCTGCTTCAAAAAATCTGATACAGAATAAAACCTTGTAAGCATGTAACTTATCCTTTGATTGCAGTTTTTGTTCTCAGCATGCACACATATTTACTGGTAATCTAATTTTAGCACTTTTTGAGCTAGAGACATTGTGCTTAAATATTGTTGTACTAGTTTCAGTTTCTTCATGTCACCAATAAAGCAGTTAATGTGAAAGCACAAATACATCATTGTCCTGTTTTGGGACTGAAATTTGATAGTGCCAAAATAAGTACATCTACAGTATATCTCTGAAAACAATCTTAATTTGTATATATATAAACATATCCCATATAAATATTGTGATTACTGAAGACCAGTCCTCAGCTGCAACAAAGCAAAAAAAACACATAAAAAATGCCTCCTATTTCAGGTTTAAGACTGCTCGTGTTATTCCCATGTTAGAATTAACCTGTATCAGACTTTAATTAACAATATGAAATTGAAGTAAGGATGTAGTTTGTAAGTAATATTAATATTATTCACAGACTTTACTGGATGGCAATAGACAGACAATCCCAATAATTCATAGATCAGGACGAGATTGGATTGCATAACATTTAGCACATGTAGTTTGAAGGTTTGAGCAGTACCAGTCCAAAACTAACTTGCTGAATATCATTAGTTTTCAGAATTACTACTTAAAACAGGATTGTGTATACATATATTTCTGGAAATTATATGATATTCAGTACAGGTTAAGATGGAACATATCTTATTGGTTCAATCTTAACATTTGAAAGGAAATTCAGTAACTCTGCATGATAAGCTTTACATGGAACATTTCCAGTACAAGTATGTTCATTTATCTCAGGGAAACTCTGAGCCACATCAACCGCTTTTCCCTTCTCTTTAAATATGATAAACTCATCACAACAACTGATTAAATAGATTAACATACTATGACTGAGAATTAGTTATGAAAAGTTTTGTAAAAAGTATCAAAACATGTCGTGCAATGCCACTCAAACTATCATTTTGACCTGCACAATGGCAGGTTACCAATACTGAGACAAAACTAGTGTATACCCATAAATGATGACGATTGTGAAAAACAACAAAACAATTCATAACTATTTAAACAAATTATTACTTTGGTATCCAAAACAAAATCAAAACATCCAGTATTATGACAAAACTTATTCAAGCTCTGGAGAAGCAAACGGAACACTTTACTGTAAACATTACATCACACTACCAAAAACAATCAAAACATATCTATAAGAATCACCAAAATAGCATTAGGCACAATGTGGAACACTGCTGTTTTCTTCACATAAATAATATGCATAGGAAGTCAAATGGGCCCGCATTACTTTTCTATTTTTCATCTGACCACCTGAATTGGTCAAATTCTTAATCTTCTTCACCCTAGCCTGCTTGCGTTAAAGCCATTTGCCCCATGAAATCTTGAAAGCAGGTCTAGTTCCAACATGACAAAATGTGGTGTAACTGTTCTAGTACACCCACAGTCCATCTATTAGAAATTGTTTGGAGAAAATTTAAGATATTTTAGTCCTTTGACTTTGAATGTAGGTTGATGTGTATGTATCGAACAAAACTGGAAAACCTTTAATCAAAGCTGGCCAAAAAGCATAAATCATAATTGAAGCCAATTATATCATTTGAAAGACATATAGTTGTAAATTGGTACGAGTATATATGTTTGATATACTTTCAAACAAATGCAAATAAATAACATACTAAAAATACAAGCAACTGGAAAGCACAAATGTGATTAAATCCTGCATTTTACAAGTAATTCTACGACTATATTCTAGTGCTAGTTCACAGCAATGTTGTTTTTCATTGTGATATGAAGGTGTCCTTCAATCATGATCTGTAAAGTGCTTGAATAGGTCCAGTTCCTCAATAGCTTTTATGGATTCACAGCAAGTCACTTGTCACTCTTCCAGGCACCTGTAACACATAAATAAATGCATCATATTATTTGGTAATAGTGCCTTGTAATAAACCCATCCTCTGACTTTGAGTAGGTGGTTTAATGTGTTAATCTCCCTGCTGGCTGATAGAAAAGACAGGAGCAATATAATAGATAAGTAGGTAGAAAAAGAGAGAAATATGAAACTATTGATTTGTATATTTTCTTCCACAAAATTTATAATAATGACTACAGCAGTTAATTATATAGCACTATACAAAGTAATAAAGCTTAAGATTCAATATGTAAAAGGAGAAAGTAGGTGTGGCTTGTACGCAGTAGGAAATAACGTCTCCATATTCTAGCTGACGTTGCATGGTTCTTTGACTCAGTTGTAAGAGCCATGGATTATTACGCTGAAGACCTGGTTTCAATTCCTGTTGGAGTACTTGTCAGAAATGTGTATTTTCCTTGTTCTTTCATTCTGATGCCCAAAAAAATCCCACTGGTTGTGGTATTTAATCTCTGTCACATCGAGCTGATGGAGCATGCTTCTTTGGCTCAGTTGGTAGAGCCATCGATTGTCACACTGGAAACCTGAGTTTGCTCTCCGTCCTGGGCACTAAGCAGCAATGCGTAATTTTTCTTGTTCTTTCAGAAGTGTATACAGCATTGAATTGTTATGAAAATTAACACATCTCACAAGAGAGTTTAACCCAATATATATACCTGTCACTTAAATGCCCACAGTTACACATACACCTTATACTTTATTACAATAAATGTCCCTCGTCAATACAATATTGGTATTCATAACTTTCAGCCTAATAATAAACACCTGGTAGATTTTACATACAGAATTCAATGGCATTCATAAACTCATAAACAACCACAATAGAAAACTTCCCTTCCCTATTTATTCTTATCAAATTGATCACTGACAAGATGATAACGACGCTTTCCTTTCCCAGGTCTACAGCTCCAATGATAGGTAATAGATATCCTATTGATTAACTGTAACATGGGCCTTAATTATATCTCAATTCATAGTAATCATCAATTTGCTGAGGATATTGATCAAATTCCTTTTTGTTCCAGTTAAATGAAATGTCATGCTTATTAAAGGTAAAGGAAATGGCAATTAATGGCTTCATTATTTTCCTACAAATGACTTATTGGTTATTTGATAATGTCTCCAGGTCTTGATGAGTAGTAACAAGTTTATAGCAACCATCAAACTGTTTAATTGTTTATAGGGAAATATATTTACATATCACCCTGCAGTTGTGGATATGATGATAAAAGAGGACTAACAATCTCATAACACAGTAAAGCCTGTTCTTATAGTGCAAACTGAGAAAGACTTTTCTGACATCAAAGCCATTTGGATTGTGACAAACTTTTTAAAGCTTTCTTGTTTAAAATTAACTGTTTAAACATAAGCCTTATAAAAACTATTTCATCCTACATCCAGTCCATATTCTTCATGTCTCTCACTTGTCACCTGTGATTCAGTCAAAGTAACGTTTAAAAAACCTGAATATGTGTAATACTGATTGATGAAGACAGTCTGCATAATATTTATAATGAATATATCAGTAGAAAGCTTATCTACATTTTTCATTTTATTGATACAAATATTAAAATTTTTCCTAATAATACCACTTACATTATTATATCCTTATAAATTTTTTTTGCATACAATGAAATTCAAAGTGTTAATACGTATCAGTGATATTGAAGGTATACTACTAAACATGTACATTTGTGAAGTCGTTTTTATGTTTTCTCAATTAAAAACTCTCTGTACATATTAAGTTTACACATTTTCCTGTAAAAAAAAAAACTGTACACAATGTAAAGAATGTTATTTCCTTTTAAGATAAAGTTTTAGGACAGCATAGCAGCTGAGCAAACACATTCCCTAATAGATATGTATTAATGATTGTGCCTGACCATAATACATACTTATGATTTCCAACATACGAAAATTGATCCACTACAAACATTTCAAATTTTAAAGCACTGTATATCTTGCAAATAAACATAGAATTATGAAAAGACTGACAATACTTTAAATATTTCTCGGTAAGTACCGAGTTCTTAATCGCATGAACTGTAATATCAAATTCTGGTAACAATTTAAAACCTTCAAATTGGCACTGATTGAAATGCCTACCTAACTGGTTACCTGATTTTAAAACTGTTAAAAGCACTGTGTTGGAAAATGTGAACACACATTGGCCTATATAGGCATATGAAGCTTGTCCAATTCAATGTTTGTCTACAAGTTGTTATTAGAGATTGAATATACACAATGGAAGATTAAGGGACTTAGTTGAGTGTTGATATACCTATGTATATCAGTTGCTGTTGAGCGATTGATACAGGTTCCATTAGGTCGACCAGAATAGTCCATTGTGTTCCAACCTCATATTAAAGCTTAATAGAAGTTTAAAAATGCTCTACCAAACAAATTGGCATATCTGTAACTAACAAATAACAAAGGATTGGGTTGTGAACACAGTGCAAGATTAAAATTTTGCATTCTCTCTCTATTGATTTTGTTTGATGTTCCTATAGAGATTCAACTCAAATATGCCACACCTTAAATTCATTTGTAACAAACAAAACAATCATCTTTGAAAGCAGAAGAACAAACCCAACAAATGTACTATATGTATTGTTTAGTGGTATTTTATATTCTCGTATATATCTCGTGATTTTTCTTGTCTACCTAGCTATAAAAGTGAGCGTCAGAATGCCGGGAAGTAGATTGGTAAGAGACTGGTGTCTTTTCAATAAAATACAATGAGGAAGCTGTTTCCCTTGCTTGATATGAACAACTGTCACGGTCTCCTTTTTGTTTAATATATACCAAATTTTTCATCCTTTTTCTGATCCATCAAAAAATAACACAGTTCCCTTCTGTCTGTGTCAAAAAACTTGGTACAAAAATGCAGTATTGAACTGAGCAACAGATGAAGTAGTCTGAGGCCTTCTGCTTCGAAGACCATTAATATATTATGGAAAAAAGAACAAAAAATGTCTTTACTCTATAGAACAATTGCTAGACATTGGGAAGAGAGCTACATTTTCCCTGAGGACAATCAAATGACCAGAATCAGAGACCATACTGTCAGTTCTTAGTAGACATGAGAGTGTGATGCTCCAAAGACAAATATCCAATTCTTATACATTAAGCCAGTAAACTGTAAGTTGTTGGTACAGTGTTACTTTTAATGATAACATTCTTTTCCCCAAAAAAGTCTTGTATCTGCTTCCGGTGTGTGCAAATCAGTCAGACAATTTGGTAAACAAGCACAGCCACAGCACCACTAGACCTCGTTCTGATCAAAGAACCCAATCCTATACTGTCAGAGAGTTTGATTCAATCATGACATGAAGAGGACACCAAAAGATATTTCAATAGCTAATAAGGTTTATAGTAAAGGAAAGTGCATGTAGGAAGATTTGGAATGACAACAATTTCCATAATGTTTATAAATGTCTTCAAGAAATCACCTCATGTACATGCATCCAAGTATCAATGCAAATTTCTGCAAAGAAAAAGTAGCTGATACTTGAAGATGGTAATCCAAATTCCATCAATATTTCATTGGAAATGGGTCTCAAGGAGGCCCATGGCTTATCTGATGGTCAAATCATGTTGAATAGTGGATCAATACTGACTATAGAGGTTTGTCCAATACAGTTTCATTAATCTTTAAATTCGGACTGAAAATAGAATGTTACAGTTTGTTTGGGGTTATAAATCCTTGTCTTTACCTGCCCACACTGTTTGGAGATACCGGATATAGATGGTGGGGGTTATGCCACAATAGCCTACAGTAAAATTCCTAACCTGGACAAAAATGACATACCTGTGATCTTCAAATTACATCAATATTTGACCAAGTCGTCCTTACAATCATGTTTCATTTAAAGCAGAACCTCAATGCATAGAGCAGTATTATATGTCTTTCATTTGTTTAGATCAGGGGCAATAATCCAATACCTTTTTTCCTAAACTTCAACATGCTATAGACACCTCAGACCACAACATGTTCCCTTTTTAAGCTGTGATGACGGTCAGAATTGAATGAAAACACCCCAAATATCTATTCAGTTATGTTGAATAACAGAACATATCTAGACAGAATGTAAAATTTTGTTTGACCAGAAACTGTTCAGACACACTTCAGATTTCAATGAAACTTAAGATTTGAATTATATTCTGTATATTAATTAACGGCAATGCTTTGAAGGCTTTAAAGAACCACGGAGATTTTTAAGCTAATCAAAAGTTATTAAATAACCTTTACTAATGTACTTGACCAGAGAAGGATACCTAGTACCATTGTGCTTTTAATTCTGTTTAAACACTCTACAGCCGGGATAAAAGATCATTTCACTCCCATTAAAAATCTATGTAGATATCCTAGGGCAACTTGGTCCCATTATTGCTTGATGTTTACTGGTTCTCTGTGTTTGATCTTTTCTTTCCTTGTCATTATCTACTGAATTAGCCATGATGAATTCTTTTTTAAAGCATATACTGAAATTCATCTTTTTATGTGCACCAAATTGTCCATTAAACAAGAGAATATCTTTCAGCTTATGAACTGAGAAAGAAATCATCCTAATTTTTTTTTAACTATCTGTTTTGTATTTCTCTAAACATTTGTCTGGAAGCCTTCTTTCTCTGAAACTTCTGTGGCATCCTTAAGTTCTTGCTGATCAATGTCAATATCAAACAAGAGAACCCATTACCAAGCAAAGCTTACAAATGAAATTTAAGAAATATCAATCCAGTAGTTATTGACAAACTGTAAAGAAAAGGCAAAAAGTCCAAATCCCAGATGGCCATCTGTCAGCCATCTTGTTCTGCCAATCACACCAAAAACTAACCTGCTCATGCACCATTAAAGATCGACCTGGCATAATAGGGATGTTATCATTATGAATTGAAGAGCGCTCAATGCAGCACCCCTTTTTGAGAAATTTAGATAATTTTTTTTTGTTTTTAAATCCATGA